GTGAATAGTTTTGTTCATGTTTATTTAATGTCCTTGATGCATAGGCTATTGGATGTCACTCTTGAGTTAAGACTGCCCCTAGAGCAAAATTGCTTGCATCAGTAACTAATTTGAATTCTTTTGCAAACTCTGGGTACCTAAGTACCAGTGTCTTTGTCACAATATCCTTTAATATTTCGAACCCTAAAATTTAATTAGAATCGTTTTTATTGATTCGCTGTTCTTTTTGAAGGTATCTTATCATTGAAGATATCTTATCATTTTAGCGTAATCCTTTATAAATTTTCTATTAAATCCTGTCGTACCTAAAAAGGATTTTATTTGCTTTTGATTAGTTGGTAATATTAGACTTTGTATTGTATCAACTTTTAGAGGGTCTGTTTTAATTCCTTCAGCTGTTAGAATACGACCTTAAAATGAAGTCTCTTTTTTTCATTTCGATTTTAGCAAGGTACAAAAAATTTTTTTAATACTTTCTGTATGTTCTTTAAGAGATGTGCTGAATATTAATATATCGTCCATATATATAACACATATCTAATTGATATAATCTCGTAAAACTGAGTTCATGAGTCTTTGAAATGTCGACAGGCATTCTTATATATTCAAAGTGACCTCTGGGGATTGAAAACATTGTTTTTTTCAGTCGTCATCCTTTACTAATATTTGGTGGAAGCCTTTTGCTAGGCCAATCGTTGTAAAATATTGCACCCTACCTAGTTTATCTAAAAGACTGTTTAAGTTTGGGATTGGGAATTTATCATCGACCATATTATTATTTAATCACCTATAGTCTATTACAACACGGCTATTACAATACGGACTATCCATAATGGGCTATTATATGGAGTATTGCTAGGACGTATTATGATTTTTGTCTTTTTTTTTTTTATGCAGTAAGTGGAAAGCATCAAAAGCCACAGTGTGAGACTCGAACCCACTGAAACCACCTCTTAGGAATGAAAGAAGAAGATTTCCACAGCAATGTGGAAACTTCATTCCAGTAATCATGGGAGAGAGGAATCAGAAAATAGATTTAATACCTTGTAAACTAGGCTCATCTAAAGCAGAAAGCATGGTCATGAACTAAGTAGGAAGGGCGATATAGAAAGGGGGAGGGGTTACGGCTAACTAGCGGGGGTTGAATCAACAATATACTTTGTGACTGGGGTCACGAAAGCCACGGTTATATAAGGGGATAGTGGAGAGGTTATGGCCCACTTTCTCGAAGTAGTGAGTTAGGTATTGGGGGGGCTTACAGCGCAATGCTAGAACAAGGTCTTTCGGATGAGTGAGAGGAGTAGAGATGTCGGGGGGAAGGTCATGGAGCCGAGTGAGATACCTACGGGCGAGTGACAGAAGATACTCGTCAACACGAGTGATCTTGGCATTGTTATAGATATAGGTTATAGAGATCAACCTCTCCTCAGATCTTGGAGAGGTTGAGTTTAATCTTTCATCTGGTATAGTAGTCAAAAAAAGATTTAAGGTGGGCATTAAGCTCATTGGAGACGCGGTAAGGATTAGACGATCGCATGAAGACAAGAGCGGAATGTATGCTATAAGCAGGTTGAAAAGGAGGGGTCGAAGAACCGATCCCTGAGGGACGCCGGCGTCGATATGGAAATCACGGAACATAGAGGAACCGACTCGAACCTGAAAGGTTGGAAAGAAATTTGTGGATTACACTGCAGAGCGTAGGAGAGAAGCCGACTTGTGAGCTTAAGAATTAAGCCTTCAAACCAGACAATATCAAAGGCTTTTTCAATGTCAAGACTTAGTGCCACAGTGGGCTGCTTATTGAAGATGCCTACGCATATTTTATTTTGGAGATGAAGCAGTGGATGGACGGTGGAGGTTTGGCTCCTAAAGCTGAACTGAAAACGGGGAATAATATTATTCCCAGAGCAGAAGACAAATAGGACGATAGCTAAAGGGGTCAGCTTTGCCACTTTTGGCAATGGCACAAACTAAGGCCAACTAAGGCTGGGGGAAGGAACCAGTGTTGTACGCATGGTTGAAGAGCATAGCGCACTTTTTAAAACAGAGTGGTGAGAAACGCCTCATGGCGTAGAAAGACACGCAGTCATGAGTTTAGCATGTCATGAGCATGTCGATAAGTTTAGAAGGGGTGAGAAATCCTTGGGTGTCTTTAACATAATTGCAGTGAGCGGGAAACTGCGGAGAGAAAGTGACAACGCTTTCATTGAAAAGCCCATGATCTACAGAATTCGTAGTGGACATAAAGTGGCACTCGCCTAGACCAGCCGTAAGACGGTGATTAGTCACAAAAACTTCACGGAAGACGTTGGCTTTATCAAGGTCGTCATACGCTATGGTGTTGCCATAGTGGAGGTCTGAGATGGACCTATTGGATCCACAGATTTGCCTGACCGTACTAAAGACATCCGGCATTGGGTGACAGGAAGTTTGGCACTAATGGATTAAACCTGGATTGGTTGACTCTCTGGGCAATTATGGTGTTCTTGAGGATGGAACGCATGAGCTTGCGTTGACGCTACCTGTCTAAGGCGATAAGTTCGGCGGCGAAGCAATTTCCTCAGTTTAATGAGGCGAAGGGTAAAAGCATCAGGTGGAACTTTAAGTGGAACTGCTCATTAATTGTGGAGGCGAAGATACTTTCAGGAGTATGGGCAGCAAAATCGATCTCCACAGGAGTCGTGTTCCTGTGTTCGGGGATGCTCAAATTAAGAAGGAGGTTGTCGAGAGCGAGGTTGAACTCCGACCAATTGGTGCTAGGAAAGTTAAAAAATGTACGAGGGCAGGCACGAGCAGCTCTGCAGTCGTGCAAAACTTACTGCTTGGTGGTCAGATATGCCGTCAATGACTCGTATGTTACCAAGGCAGCGAAGGACGCAATTATCCGCTAAGAAAAAATCAATGATACTGTGGCAGCACCAGCCAAACATGTGCACGTTCGCAGCACCAGTCAAACATGTGCATGCTAGAACATATGAACGACACGAAACACGGACACGCAATGAATATAGAGAGCAACAGCACTTGTGCACGAGTCAGTCGTTCGTTACATTCGATATGGAATATACTGAACTGGTGACCCCGACGTGATTAGTTCTTTTCAGAACTGTTCACTAATTAAGAGTATATTTCATCAATATACAAAAAGTTCTTTTCAGAACTTAAAAATATATTGCATCAACATACAAAGGTTCTTTTCAGAACTTATTGCATTAGGGTGGCTCAGAAAAACTAAAATGCGATTTTTAATGAGCGCACCTCCTAGGAATATGCCATTGATCAAAAAAATGATATTCCCAAAGTTTTGGAACAATAGGATTAAAAATGACGTTGCGCCACTCGAGCAAAGTTGGGTTTTCAGTACAAAAAACAGAAATTTTTCAATTCAAGGTCAGTTTTTATCTTTGCTACTTGTTTCAACAGTTATTAATATATACTCATTTGATAGATAATTAAAATATCTTTTTAATAAGATACTGATGAGCAAAATCGGTTAAAAACTATGCGCAAAA